GCAATTACCCAGGAAGGGTTCATTTTGGGGTATGCAACTCGGGCCCAATATTTAAGAGTACCCAAGAAGGGCTCACAAACTTACAGAGTTGCACAGATTACGGCACCCTAAACCCTAAACCCTAAACCCTAAACCCTATAAAACCTAAACCCTAAACCCTAACCCCGCATAAAGCTGCAGAGTCGCGGGGAACCCGGTGTAGCAGGAGAGTCGTCGTGCCCTCCTCAAGCCCTTGTGAGCTTGAGTCGTGCAACGACGCCTTCAACATAAACATGTTGAGAGGCGCCTGCACAAAGGACGCTGCCACAGTCACATCTGGCATGTTGGGCCAAAAAGCACCAGCAGATATGCACATGTGGCCTGATCTAACTTCTGGATCCCTGCACCCTCAACTACAATCATCGAGCATGGCCTGCTGTTTGCTTAAGAAGCCCCCCCCCCCCCCCCAAAAAAAAAAGAAAATGCAAAAAAACATGTATAAATCCCTAGATTGCCCTCATAAGGTTTGTTTTTGGCATTTTGGGGGGGAGTTCTTAAGCCATGCGTGGTGGCTTTGTACATACGTGGGTAAATGCTGGATCAGTCGCATGGGGCAGGGCTGCGCTTCTAGGTGCAGATATACTCTTCCATTTGCTTAAGAGCCCATACACTAACAATCCCTATATTGCCCTTATAAGGAATAGCTATACTCTTCCATGTGCTTAAAACATCATAAACTAAGAATCCCTATCTTGCCCTTATGAGGAATAAGATTTTTCATGTTCTGGGGGGGTGTTCTTAAGCAGACAGTAGTATTATACTATGGGTCACAGAGCGCGGGGAATTACACTGAAACCTTCTTAAATACGGTACACACGATGTGTATATGTGTATACATATATATATATATGTTTGTTTAGTTTGCATACATGCACATACATATGTATGTATATATATATTATGTATGGTTAAGTATGTACCTTTCTGTTAGGTTTCAAAGAAAGAGAGAGAGAGAGAGAGAGAGAGAGAGAGAGAGAGAGAGAAAGAGAGAGCGAGAGAGCGCGCGAGAGATAGAGAGAAGGACAGAGAGAGAGACAGAGAGACAGAGAGAGAGAGAGAGCGCGCGAGAGAGAGAGAGAGAAGGAGAGAGAGAGAGAGAGAGAGAGAGAGCCATACTCGAAGAGGAGACTCCACAAGAACCAATGCTATCGGTGAACCCACAAAGCCGTGAGACACGAGAATCTCCACAAACGGGGGTGGGGGGGGGGGGGGGGGGGCAGTCAGGGTTTAGGGTTTAAGGTTTAAGGTTTAGGGCTTAGGGCGTAGGGTAAGGGGGTGTTTTGGGTTTGAAGGACTCAAAGAATTTGAAGGGTGCCAAGGGTTTAAATGGGTTCAGAGGGTTCTAAAGGTTTTAAGGAACCTTGAAAATTCAGGGACGAGGCAACACGGGGATAGGATTTGGGGCTTCAGCGAAATAGTCTTGGGGCTTCAGCGAAATAGTCTAGGGATAAGGTTTAAGATTTAGGGTTTAGGGTTTAGGTTTGGGGTTTAGGGCTTTAGGGCTTCCGGGCCTGGAGTTTTGATGGGATTTGTTGGGGTTCGCCCCTGCATTTTGCAGAGGCTGCGCCCACAAGAATGCTGCTCAGCCCCCTGGTGTTGCCAATGAAGAAGGGTTAAGGGGTTGAGGGTTCTAAACCTTAACCCCAAACCCGGGTTTAGGGTTAAGGGTTTAGGTTTTGGGGTTTAGGGTTTAGGGTTTGGGGTTTAGGGGGCTTGCCCCCCCACCCCATCCCCCCCCTGAAGTTGAAACCCCAAAACCTGAGCCCCCAACCAGATTGAGCCTGGTGCTAGGAGTCTCTATACCCCCCTGAGAGCCAGTTTGTAAACCCTAAACCCTACACCTGGGAGTTTTATCCATAAGCACAACGAAAAAGCACAATTCGGATAGGTGTTGGGATTGGGGCTTAGGGTTTGGAATCTGCGAGTTTGTAGAGCTTGTGGTTAGGGCATAGAGTTTGCGATTTAGCTTCCGAGATTGGGGTTGGGGTTGAGAGCTTTTGGCTTGGAGAGGCTGTTGAGATTGGGAAGTGAGAGGGTTTAGGGTTCAGGGTTTAGGGTTTAGGGTTTCGGGTTTAGGGTTTAGGGTTATCGGGCTTAGCTTTAGGATTTCGGGGTCTACGAAAACGACGCCACATGGATTGTCAGGTAGAGGGCACACACCGGACAACGCTCGAAGACCCAAAGCCAACCTTCAGAACCTTTGGCTTCCCCACTGAATACCTAAACCCTAAAACCTAAAACCTAAACCCTGAACCCTAAACCCTAAACCCTAAACTCTAAACCCAAAAAACCCTAAACGCTAAACCCTAAACCCTAAACCCTAATTAAACCCTAATTAAACCCTAAACCCTAAACCCTCACACTGAACCCTAAACCCTAAACCCTAAACCCTAAACCCTAAACCCTAAACCCTAAACCCTGAACCCTGAACCCTGAACCCTGAACCCTGAACCCTGAACCCTGAACCTGAACCCAATGCCCTACACCCTGGCTCCTGTCGCTGGTAGAGTCGCCTCAGGCGCTCACCGTGGATGGGAAAGGCATAGGTCATGCCGCAGGCAATGGCCTGACACCTAGGAGTTTGAGGGTGAGGGTTTAGGGTTTGGGGTTTGGGGTTTGAGGTTTGGGGTTTGGGGTTTGGGGTTTGGGGTTTGGGGTTTGGGGATGCTAAGCCTTCAAACCATGCAGCGATACAAGCTGCAAGGCTGAGGGAACTCGGCAAGTAAGTCGAGAAAGCCCTAAACCCTAAACCCTAAACCCTAAACCCTAAATCCTAAACCCTAAACCCTAAACCCAGGTTTGGGGTTAAGGTTTAGGGCTTCTAGAGCAAGATCTCGTATTCGCATAATCTCCAGCTTATGTTACTCAAAGCACAGCGTGTTCACTTACTATTTCGGGAACCCAAATTTGTGGACGCAGAAACCTTAAGGTTCAGGGGTTAACGTGGCATGCTGGATTTAATGGGCGGTTTCCAAAACTAGGGGTACGAGTACCTTATAGAGGTCCTGATTATAAGGGAACTCGGCAAGTAAGTAGATAAAACCCTAAACCCTAAACCCTAAACCTTAAACCCTAAACCCTAAACCCTAAACCACCCTCTTTTCGAAAACCCCCCAATGGAGTACGTCTGGAATTGTTTGGGGTCTAGGCTTTGAGGCTCAATGTTCGGGGCGCCCAAAACCCAGCTTGCGAACTACATTGCGGTTTAGGGTATACGGGGGGTTTAGGTGTCCAAAACCCTAAACCTTATCAACATTATAAACCCTGACCCATAAACCCTAAACCCTGAACCCTGAAACCTAAAACCTAAACCCTCAACCCTAACATGCAAGATGGGCTGCAGAGGAATCGCTGCAAAGTAGAGCATCTCGATGCAGGTGACAACGGCTGGATCCTGGACGACAAGCTCACGCTCCCGCCATCTTTCAAGCGTAGGGTTTAGGGTTTGGGGTTTAGGGCTTAGGGCCTAGGGCTTAGGGTTGAGGGTTGAGGGTCGAGGTCTCAAAGTTTCGGGGCTTGGGCAAACCTAAAGGCTAAACCCTGAACCCTTTGCAACTTGAGCAGCTGGACCGGAAGAGATCCCCAAGGGTCCATGTCTTGGGGAATACTTGGGTTTAGGGTTTAGGGTTTAGGTACCTCCTATTTGGGGACTTTCGAGCTCAAGTGCATAATAAGGTACATGGACCCTCAGGGATCTGTTTGATGGACTCCTTCCGGGCACGCACAGAAACCCCTAAACTCACTGCCTTGCAGCGCGCGTAGGGTTTAGGGTTTAGGGTTTCGGGTTTAGGGTTTCGGGTTTGGGGGTTGCTCTGCTGCGGGAATCTCGCATGTTTCTTCCAAATTCCAACGTATCATGATTCGCCGCAGACTAACCCCAACCCAGAGACAAGACTTCTCCCTGAACCCAACACCCTGAACCCTAAAACCCAAAATCCTGAACCCTAAGCCCTAAACCTCAAACCCAACACCCAAAACCCCAAAATCCTCGACCCCAAACCCTGAATCCTAAACCATAAAACCTAAACCTGACACTCTCAACTATTTCCTGGCTCTCGAAGTTGCGCTGCTCGCACGCCTCGCCTCTCAGCTCAGTGCATCAAGTGGCTCAGGATGGAAGAAGTGTCTTGGGTGGGTTTAGGGTTTAGGGTTTAGGGTTTAGGGTTTAGGGTTTAGGGTTTAGGGTTTAGGGTTTAGGGTTTAGGGTTTAGGGTTTAGGGTTTAGGGTTTAGGGTTTAGGGTTTAGGGTTTAGGGTTTAGGGTTGAGGCAACTTGTGGGGGCTATCCTTCTTTTCTGACGGAAACCCTAAGCCCCCTAAAACAGGAATAAGGGTACTACTGGGCATCCTAGGGGTGTAGGGTTGACTTTGTAGCTTACCGGTTTAGGGTTTAGGGTTTAGGGTTTAGGGTTTAGGGTTTAGGGTTTAGGGTAACTCTAATGGTTGGCGCTCTGAAGCCTTATAATCCCTAACATAAGGGACTGGGTTTAGGGCTTACAGTTCTTGGCGTTATCAGGAATATTTTAAATTCAGGGTTTCGGGGCCAGTTTAGGAAACTTCCATGGCATCCATCAGAAACCAAGGATGGCACAAACATGTTGCATAAATCCTAAACCCTAAAACCTTAAACCCTAAACCCGAAGTCCTAAGAGTGGTCGGCTAGCTCCACCTTGGTGACAGGCTGACGGTCCGGGGCTTTGGGGCTTGGTTCTCATACTGATGCGGTGTAGAGTCGAGGGTTTAGGGTTTATAGGGTTTGGGGTGTATAGGTCAAATCATAGGGTTTTAGGGTAGAAATACTGATGCGTAGTAGAGTTGAGGGTTTAGGGTCAGGGCTTATAGGGTTTACAGGGTTTCGGGTAGAACTTAAACCCTAAATAGGGTTTACAGGGTTTAGGCTTAGGGTTTATAAGTTTAATCATAGGGTTTTAGGGTAGAACTTAAAAACTGAGCCCTGAACCTCTACGTGCACACCCCGGCAGCCCAGTTGCGACAAAGTCCCTGCTCGTTGCTGTCGCGGCAAAGCTCAGCACAGTTGGAGACCTTCTCCAAGGCTCAAGACTTTCTGTGTGTTTGCGTGCTTGTTGTTGCTCTTCTTGTTTGAGGGAGGGAGGGGGGTGGGGGGTGGACTAATGGCCACCCTCGTTTGGGAAATGCCCATGCAAAACCACTCCCACCCCTCGACTGGTAAGGGCGCATCTTCTGCAACATTGGTGTGCAAGAAAGAAGGAAACGAATTCAAGATAGCCTGGCATCATGGAATCATGCCTTTGGTTCTACAGTAGCATAGTACAGTAGATTAATAGTAGATGGGAACAGTTGGTATCCGTGGCAATATATATATATATATATGAGTAGTTCCCAAGAGAAGGACCCCTTGTATCCCACCAAAATAGGATAGACCCTAAACCCTAAACCCTAAACCCTAAACCATAAACCCTACAGGAGTGTAGGAAGCCCCACAAAGGTACCCTTCGTTGTAGGTTTAGAGGGTTTAAGGACACGTCCCTTCACATGTCCAAAATCGAACCCCGAGAAACCAAGCCACTGAAATTCAAAGCGTTCAAAATTCAGCGTTCAGGGTTCAGGGTATACACCTTGACCCTACCCCAAAGCAGTATAACTTCATGACAAAACCTTTGGTTCAATTCATGTGCCACACACCTGAAACGCCTAAACCCCAACGCCCAGAACCTTTACCCCACGCCCAGAACCCTAAACCCTAGCCCTATACCCTAAACCCTAAACCCTAAACCGGAGATCTACAGGCGACCTCCAGACCAGAGGCCGAGAGTGCATTCAGCAGCACGCCGGCGGCTGCAGCCTGTGTGTGTGTGTGTGGGGGCTTAGGGTTTAGGGTTTAGGGTTTCGGGTGTAAGGAAAGGCATTGACGGAAGCTAACATGATGGCCTGCAAACATGCCATTGAGGCGCCTCAACCCTATACCCTAAACCCTAAACCCCAAAACCCCAAAAGCCCAAAACCCCAAACGCTAAACAGGAAACCCTAAACCCTAAATCCTAAACCCTAAACCCTAAACCCTAAACCCCAGCACGTGCCGGCAAGTCTAGGAGCTTCTGGCACCAAGGGGCTCGGCCAACCGAGGATGCCAACGACACACAGCCCACAAACACAGCCTCCGCATGGCGTTTAGGGTTTAGGGTTTAGGGTTTAGGGTTTAGGGTTTAGGGTTTAGGGTTTAGGGTTTAGGGTTTAGGGTTTAGGGTTTAGGGTTTAGGGTTTAGGGTTTAGGGTTTAGGCCGCAAGCATTTCAGGCCCTCTTCTTTCGCACTTTATAAATCCTAAACAGATCAAAGAGCCCTAGCCCCGAAGCATTCGCCCGACCACCACCCTCAAAGACCCCAAGCCCCCTAGGGCCTGAAACGCAAAATACAACTTTCTAGCCCCAGAAAGACTCCCGCGCCCTAAGCCCCAAACCCTAAACCCTAAACCCAAAACCCTAAACCCTAAACCCCCTTGTAAAACCGAAAGCCCTCAACAGCTCATGCTCCAAACCTCGAAGCCGGGGGGTTGGGGGCTTCTGAGACTAGGCCATAGGGGCTTTAGGCTCTCCTCGCACTTCTGGAGGGGTTCAGCCTCGGGGCCTGCGGGTTTTGCGTTTGGCTTGGGGTCAGGGTCGATTTTGGGGCGCAGGCCTTCAGAGGTGTTTGGGGGTCAGGGTGTAGGGTTTATGGTTTAGGGTTTAGGGCTTCGGGTTTAGGGTTTAGGGTTTAGAGCTTAGGGTTTAGGGTTGTTTTGGGACTTGCTCTTTGGGCCATGAACCTTAAACCCTCAGCCCTAACCCCAAACCCTAAACCCTAAACCCGAAGCCCCAGCCAGTGTGAACCCCAGCTTCTCCCTCGCAAACGCGCCTCACGCCGGCGCCCTTCCTTGCAGTAGCGCGGTGTGCTGCGCTTTAGGGTTTAGGGTTTAGGGTTTAGGGTTTAGGGTTTAGGGTTTAGGGTTTAGGGTTTAGGGTTTAGGGAACCTACGAAGTAGGCTAGCATGTAGGTTCTTTGGTCTAAGTTATAGGCAGGGTTTACAGGGCTCAGGAAACTAAGGCAGGGTTTACAGGGCTCAGGAAACTGAGCAAGTAGGATCCAAGCAGGGTTGTAATTACCCCAGGTCGAATGACGACCTGATGAAGCGCTGTGAATCTTCAACAAATATAGGTTTAGGGCTTCAGGGTTTAGGGTTTGGGGTTTGGGGTCTGGAGTATCGGGTGTCAAGGTGTTGGGGTTTAGTTCTTGGGCTTGGGGCTTCAAGCTTAGATTCCAATCCGCCCGTGCCCTCCCAGCCATCCAACATATCAGAACTCTACACCCTAAACCCGACATCTCTTGTCTAACCCCTTTACAACTCGCTCTAGACGTAATAGCTCAAGGAGCGCATTGCCTGTTGCGTTCCATGCCCTGTGGACTTAGGACTTTTGCACCCTCGCCCTCCGCGAAGTTCGAGGCGTCAGTCATGCGAGGTGAGAGGCCGGCCTTGCTCATCCTAAACCCTAAACCCTAAACCCTCAACCCTCAACCCCTAAACCCTAAACCTCACACACGAGGCTCAAGAGCATGTCTTCACCCAGGGCTCTCCTGCGCCCAGATATGGCCACTCACAAGAAGTGCCCTGTGAGTCGGGGACAAGTCTCTGGAACAACCCTAAACCCTAAACCCTAAACCGTGCACACATACAAGGCTTTTCAAGAAGCCATGCGCTTTCCATCCTGATGCTGCGGTCGCTGTTGCAATATGAGCACATCTTGGACACGATAAGAACCTCAAAGCTTCAAGAAATATCTACGAGGGTTTAGGGTTTAGGGTTTAGGGTTTAGGGCTTTATGGGGAGTAGTGGTGGTCATTTATGCTCCTGTTAAGGGTTTCGGGGTGCATGGTCTGGCATTGTAGGCTTGCTTCAGACCGGAAGGGGCACACGAAAGACAAGCAAACTTATGAACGAACATGGCAGCGCCGCTCTCATGTCATTCTCTATCTACTCTGAACCGAAAGTCGCTCGTCTGCCTCCAAAAATGTGTCCGACCCTTTCAGAACCTCCAAAGAGGCTAAAAGGAGAAGCTTGAAGCAAGCCTAACCCCTGTCGTGGGGGTTTAGGCTTTAGGGGCGTCTGGGTTTAGGGCCCCTCAACCCTGAAATCCGAAACCGTAAGCCGTAACCGCCTAACACAAGAGCCTAACTCACTTACGCAAACGATCCCTCCTTACTATCCCTACATCGTCTGTAGCGACCTGAGATACACATTGAAATCAACTCGTCGAACCCTAAACCCTAAACCCTAAACCCTAAACCCCAAACCCTAAACCCTAAACCCTAAACCCTAAACCCTAAACCCTAAACCCTAAAACCCTAAAACCCTAAAACCCTAAAACCCTAAAACCCTAAACCCTAAACCCTAAACATGACGGGCCCAGGAAACCCGAAGCTTTTCAAACCCAAATGCTTGGTAGCCCAGCAAGCGCAGTACAATAAGGGCACCCTTGTTGTTGGGGTTGGTTACTTTATAAGGGTTTAGGGTTTAGGGTTTAGGGTCGGGCACCACGGGGCCACCAAGAATGCCGAGACAACCATAAGACCCGAAACGCAGCGCAGTGTCTTTGGCATGGCAGTCTTCATCGACAATCCTTGGCGGGGCAGAGATCTGCGACGCCCTGCAGGGTTTAGGGTTCAGTTGCTGGCTTGCTCCAAGCCTGAACCCTAGAAGGCCCGGGGATGGTTCCACCTCGGGTGGTGGAGCTTTTTGGGGGGTTTAGGGTTTAGGGTTTAGGGTTTAGGGTTTGGGTTTTGGGGCTCAAGGTAAAGTTTACCCGAAGGGTCCGTGTGCAAAGTTCAAGGTCTGGGGGGAGGTGGTGGAGAAGGAGCAAGAGGGAGAGGTAGAAAGAGAGAGCGCGAGAGAGAGAGAGAGACTGAGCTGGGGGCAATAAGTCGCCAGCTTAAGCTGCACATCACACAAAGCCCACGTGAGTACTTCCAAGCATCAAGGGACGAAAGGAGGAACCCTTCGAGGGGATTGGGTATAGGGACTTTTTGTCAGGTAGATATAGAGGCAATAAGATTAAAAGCCCTAAACCCTAAACCCTAAACCCCAAACCCTAAACCCTAAACCCTAAACCCTTCTAGGGGTCCTTCCTTATATCCTAGAGATCAAGGGACCAGCAGAGCGCCATCGATCTCCAGTAAGTCTGTCCTGTAAAGCTGCCTGCCAGGGTTTAGGGTTTAGGGTTTAGGGTTTAGGGTTTAGGGTTTAGGGTTTAGGGTTTAGGGTTTAGGGTTTAGGGTTTAGGGCTTAGGGCTTAGGGCTTCGGGTTTGGGGTTTAGGCCATTGCCAGAAGGTAAGAAGGGCGGCGATCTTTATTGACACATGCCCAGATGCCTTCAGGTACGAAAGTCTAAAGACCCTAAACCCTAAACCACAAACCCCAAACCCCAAACGCTAAACTCTGAACCCTGAACCCCCAACCCCTAACCCCAAACCCTAAACCAAACAAAGGGAGTCTGAGTTTCTCTTGTGAGGAGATTGCCTTCGTGTTGCCGGGGGCCAGCCTTTCGGGAGAGGGGCCTTGGGGGTGGATGGGTGAGGTGGGCAAGGGTGGGCGGCCAGATGTCTATTGAACCCATGAAGCTGAGGTTCAATTAGGGTTTAGGGTTTCGGGTTTAAGGATTAGGGTTAGTGTGTAGGGTTTATATTTTAATTAGGGTTTAGGGTTTAGGGTTTAGGGTTTAGGGTTTAGGGTTTAGGGTTTAGGGTTTAGGGTTTAGGCACCAGGAACGCAAGAGGGTGACTAGCGGTTGCCATAGATCCTTGTGGGGCATCCAGACTTCGCTGTGGCATCTACTTTGTACTTCAAGACCCTAAACCCTAAACCCTAAACCCTAAACCCTAAACCCCAAACCCTAAACCCTAAACCCCAAACCCGAAACCCTAAACCCGAAACCCTAAACCTTAAACCCTACCCCTACAGTGCATTGGACACTGGTCCCAGGCCTGCCACAAAGACAAAGTAAACCATGAAGTCCCACGGGGTTGGTAACCTTCTGTCTGCTAACGGGAGATTCTGGGACTCAGGGATAAGAACCCAAAAACCCAAGGGGGAAACCCCAAACCCTAAACCCTAAACCCTAAACCCTAAACCCTAAACCCTAAACCCTAAACCCTAAACCGTGTGGGTGTAGGGTTTAGGGGCTCCAATTTTGCTGCCCAAATAACACGCCGAGTCCCTCCCCCACCCCGCCCCCCCCAAGTTGTTGACACATGGGTAATTCCCAAAAAGGGAAACTGCCTTACAGACCCCGTGCTAGAGTCTTTGTTATAGGAACCAACCCCCCCCCCCCCCAACCCAAAACCCCAAACCCCAAACCCTAAACCCAAAACCTAAAACCCAAAACCCTAACCCCTAAACCCTAAAGCCAAAAAATGGAGCCCTAATTGTCGGAAACTCGTGGAGAAGTGACCCGAAGCCGACTACGATTTGCTTCAGAACCCCTTCCCAGAAAAAGGCAAACAACTTCCTTATGAGGGTCATTGAGGAAGTCGTATCTTCGTTTTTTTCTTTTATTTTTTATGGGAGGGTTTAAACAAATAGTACTGGGTGATGCATGCTTAAACTCTTGGGGGCACCTGGTTTTGGGTTTTGAGCTTAGGGTTTGCAGCCTCTACATGAATAGGACTCCACAAGGTTCAAATCTGAAACCACCCCACGCGGATGCTGGTTCAGCGCAAAGCTCGAAAATGATACGCCAAAGCCCGCCGATTGTTGCCTCCCTTCCTCCCTTTCGCCCTCTCCCTCTCCCTGTCCGTCTCCCTCTCCCTCTGCCTCTTTCTGTCCCCCTTCCCTCCCCCTCCCTCTCCCTCTTCATCTCCCACTCACGCTCCAGCTCTCTCTCTCTCTCTCCCTTTCTCTTTCTCTCTCTCTCTCTCTCTCTCTCTCTCTCTCGGTTCTAAACGCTAAACCCTAAACCCATATCCCTAAATCCTGAGGACCTCTCCAGGTGCGTGCCTCATGAGGAAGGATCAACACCCGCTCTCTCAAAGCAGAGTGAGCGTTCAGACCTGAACAAACCCTAAACCTTAACTAAGCCTCCAGCTAGATCCAAGAGTAAACTAGGAATTGCTACCCTTTAGAGCTTAGAACGTTGTATCAGGGAACCTAAACCCCCCAAACAGGAAAAAGTGCCTACTTTGGCTCCTCGTAATTCTGGCTGGCTGGCTCTCTCCCTCTCTCGCTCTCTGCCTCTCCTCTTTCGGAGCCCAGTTTCAGTTCTATTCCTCGGCTTCCTCAACTATTTGCAGGCAGCATTTCGCACCATTGCCGGGGGTCTTTGCAAAGCAGAAGGTACTCAGGTACTGTACCCATTGCAACCCTAAACCCCCTACGCCCTAAACCCTATAAACCCTACAAACCCTAAACCCTCACAGGGTTTTTTGCCTAACCCTAAACCCTAAACCCCAAACCCCAAACCCTCAACGCCCAATGTTCTGAGGCCCAGCGGCCAACCCCGCAAGGACCAAAGGAGCAGCGGCGCGGCAAGGCCCACAGAAAGCGCGCCGGCGCAAACCTGACGAGTTGAAGTTTGAAGTTTGGGCTTTAGGGTTTAGGGTTTAGGATGGAGCCGAAAACCTAACCCCTTAAACGCTGAAGCCTTTGAAGCTCGACCCTTAATGCCTTTCACACAAGAAGCCTTTAAGCCTTTAGACTTTTACGACCCTAACCTCGAAGCCTGAAAACCCTAAACCTGCAGATGATTCGTGATTTTTCCGACCCCTACAATAGTAGCTTCATTAGGCTTGGCGCTGCTACGGACCCCTAAACCCTAAACCCTAAACCCTGAACCCTAAACCCTAAACCCTAAACCCTAAACCCTAAACCCTAAACTCTAAACCCTAAACCCTAAACCCTAAACCCTAAACCCTAAACCCTAACCCTAAACCCTAAACCCTAAACCCTAAGGCTTAGGGCTGCGGAAGGGAGCCTTGTTTTGGTTTACTTCCGGCCGCCGCTTGCGGAAGAAGATCGTCCAGACAGGCAGAAGCATCACGGTCACCACGCCTTGTATGGCACCTGGCTGGGGGCAAACCCTAAACCCTAAACCCTAAACCCTAAACCCTAAACCCTAAACCCTAAACCCTAAACTAACCCCTTATAAACCCTAAACTCTAAACCCCAAACCGAATAGGCAAACCTAGCAGTAGGTTTAGGGTTTAGGGATGAGGGCTTTTCAGAACAGGGAGATGAAGAGTCTCGTCACCAAGCTTGCAACACCCTGCGAGTCGCAGCGTAAACCCGAAACCCGAAACCCCGTAAACCCGTACACCCGTACACCCGTAAACCCGTAAACCCGTAAACCCGTAAACCCGTAAACCCGTAAACCCGTAAACCCGTAAACCCGTAAACCCGTAAACCCGTAAACCCGTAAACCCGTAAACCCTAAACCCTAAACCCTAAACCGAACCCTAACTCACAGACCCCAAACCTCATCCAAGCCGGATCTTCCTGCAAGCTGCTGATCATACCAAGGCTCCGGTCCCCGTGATATAAAATGACCTGCATCAGCGGCTCAACTCGAGTTTAGGTGTTTGGTCTAAACCCGGCAACCCTACCTGTTCCCCCCCAACCCCCGCAAAAAATGTTTCCGGTAAATAACCCACAGGAACCCTAAACCCTAAGCCCTAAACCCGAAACCCTAAACCCAAAATCGCCGAAACCCTAAACAAATCCTAAATTCCAAACCCGTCGACTCGGGGGCGAGTTCCCGGAGGCAGAGTGCATCATGGAAGGGTTCTTTCACTGTCTCCGCTAGGTCTGGGGTTTGGGGTTTGGGGTTTGGGGTTTGGGGTTTGGGGTTTGGGGTTTGGGGGTTGGGGTTTGGGGTTTAGGGTTTAGGGTTTAGGGTTTGGGGTTTAGGGTTTGGGGTTTAGGGTTTAGGGTTTGGGGTTTAGGATTCAGGGTGGACGCAAGAGAGCCCTAAGCTCAGTCACTCTCAGCCCTGGTGCTTGCTGGTTCTTAGTAGGAGGTAATGTTGCACCTGGTTTAGCATTGGCCTCCGCTTTAAAGACAATTTGGCTGAGCTATTCAGGACACCCTGACCGTTTGGGAGTCCCTCCTTAAAGACAAAATCGTCCGGGCGCCGCAAGAGAATTCCACGTGGCGCGCCTTTAAAAAAAATTGCCGGGAATCGCTGCCCTGTTTGAACTTATCTAAACTCCCCCCTCTCCAAAATCATTTAAACCCGCGGGAGCGTCTACAGGGACAGATCCAGCCCCGACTGTTCGGGGGGGGGGGGGGGGGGGCCCACACTAAAGCAGGTGCAACAATAAAAGCCTAAGCCTAAACGCTGAACCCTAGGTATATTCCCCCACATACCCCTTCAAAGCGATTGCAGACGGTGCCCTGATCCCCTTCGTCACTAAACCCTAAACCCTAAACCCTAAACCCTAAACCCTAAACCCTAAACCCTAAACCCCAAATCCTAAACCCTAAACCCCTATCAGGACCAAGCAAGATCGTCTCGCCTCCTGGCTCCGTTGAGGCCACTAACGAAGGTGAAGTAGTACAAGGCGCCGTTCACCAACCTCAATGGGTTTATGGGGGTTTAGGGTTTAGGGTTTAGGGTTTATACAGGGTGTACAGGGTTTACAGGGTTCATAGGGTGTATAGGGTTTATCGGGCGTATAGGGCTTAGGGTTTAGATGGGTTTAGGGTATAGGGTTTAGAGGGTTTAGAGGGCTTATGGGGTTTGGGCTTATAGGGTTTCTAGGGTTTCTCGGGTTTGCAGGGTTAATAGGGTTCAGTGGGTTTACAAGGTTTATAGGGAATCTTAGGTTAACAGGCCTCGCCAGGAAGGACGACACAGTCACTCAGCCACACCTTAACCAAGCCTGGCTGCATGAACCCGAATCCCTGCCAAACCTGAGGGTTCAGGGTTCAGGGTTCAGGGTTTAGGGTTTAGGGTTTAGGGTTTAGGGTTTAGGCTTTAGGGTTTAGGGTGTAGGGTAACTCAAGCACTGAATCTCCAGAGCGACAGCGTGTTCACGGCTCCATCGAAGAAGCGATACGTGCAGAGTAAGCGGAAGCTTGGCAGCTTTAAGACCTGCAGCGAGCTAGGGTTTAGGGTTTAGGGTTTAGGGTTTAGGGTTTAGGGTTTAGGGTTTAGGGTTTAGGGTTTAGGGTTTAGGGTTTAGGGTTTAGGGTTTGGGGTTTGGGGTTTAGGGTTTGGGGTTTGGGGTTTAGGGTTCAGGGTTTAGGGTTTAGGGGGAGCTTTCCTGCCCCCTACAAGGCGCAGGGGAAATTAGGGCTTGATCCAAAGTAGCGTCCCTTTAACACGCGGTGTTCTGTTTTGGGGTAATTGTACCAAAGTAGGCTCAAAGTAGGCCATATATATATATATATATATATGGTTCAGCGTCGGGCGTCCTGGGCCCCCCCCCCCCTACTCTACGGTCCCTCAACCCTAAACCCTAAACCCTAAACCCTAACCCTAAACCCTAAACCCTAAACCCTAAAACCTAAACCCTAACCCTAAACCCTAAACCTTAAGTCTTAAACCTAAAGCCCTAAACCCTAAAACCCTAAACCCTAAACCCTAACCCTAAAACCAACCCCCAACCACACCACAGGGGGGGGGGGGTATCATCTTAGTACCCCATCCGCGGGGAAAACCCTAAACCCTAAACCCTAAACCCTAAACCCTAAAACCCTAAAACCCTAAACCCTAAACCCTAAAACCCTAAAACCCTAAAACCCTAAACCCTAAACCCTAAACCCTAAACCCTAAAACCCTAAAACCAACCCCCAACCACACCACAGGGGGGGGGGGGGGGGGGGGGTATCATCTTATAGGGGGGGGGGGGGGGGGGGTACCGGGGGGGGGGGGGGGGGGGGGGCCCGCCGGGGCTGAACCATATATATATATATATATATATATATATATATATTTTTTTTGTGTATATATATATATAGTGGAGAACTGGACACCTTTTCTTGGCATTAATGCGTGGTTTTCTTGGGGGTGTAGACTTAGCAGAAACCCCTGGATCTCTGAGCCCAAGAATCCGGACCCTTTTCCCCGCCCAGCTCGCAATCCCGTAACATAGCGGCCAGAATTCCTTGAATAGGGTTTTTGGAGGTTATTGTAGTAAAAAAACATAAAGGGACCCTAAGGAAATACCATTAGTAATTAGAAGCCCTTAACCCTAAACCCTAAACCCCAAACCCGAAACGACCCCGACAGTAAGCCGTAACCCCCCCCCTTCAAACGTGGCCTCGAGATACTCCCAGAAGAAGCAGCCGGCGAGTGCCTGCAAGATAGCCCGAAACCCTAAACCCTAAACCCTAAACCCCTAAACCCTAAACCCTAAACCCTAAACCCTAAACCCTGAACCCTAAACCCTAAACCCTAAACCCTTTAGGGGATCGCGGTTCTGTCGCAAGCTATGCTGTGGGCTCTTGAGGTTTAGGGACAGAATGTGTGAGCACGCCTCGTCGACATGATGCAGCTTGGGGCATTGGCATAAACTCTGAAGCTTAGTTGTCCAGTACCTAAGGGGTTTTAAAGGTTAACCTTTGGGATTATAAGGGGAATATATGAACCCAAAAAGGTTAAAGGTTACCTACTCTACTACTAAGGAAGCCTCAATGTAGAAAACCAACACCGTGTTGGGATTCAGGGTTTGGGGTTGCTCTACAACGGCCTACAAATTAGCAGGTGAGGAGTCAGGAGGGTGCTTGTGCAACAGTCCCGTCGAACCTATAACTGTCGAGAGACTGCAGAACTTAAACCCTAAACCCTCAACCCTAAACCCTCAACCCTCAACCCTCAGTCTCTCCGTGACCTGCACCGGAGTCCCCCCCCTAACCCCCCCAAAACCTGACAGAACCAACGAGTTTGTAGGGTTTGGGAATGAAGGTTAAAGCCGAAGCCCTGAACGCTGTTTAGGTTTCACACAATCGGGGCTGGTCTTCTAAAGTTTAGGAAATGGCTGAATGGGGCGAATGCCTGGGGTTGAAGCTTTGTTTTTGTGTTCACTTGACCAAAGAAAGAGTAGTTGACAAGACAAGTGAATTGGGATGTTCCCCCTGAAGCCCTAAAGCCCTAAAGCCCTAAGCCCTAAGCCCGAAACCTAAGCCCTAAACCCTAAACCCTAAACCGTACTAACATCCTTCATGGGGATTATAGCACCCCCCCCCCCTTTGAAAATTCCTATTAAGGACTGTTGGTATAAGGGGGAACATCCCAACACGTGAACCTTCACCAACAAACATGTTGGGTGAGTTTTTCATCTTCATGGTGCAGGGATACTCTAGGTAGGGCTACTCAAGTGCTCAGGGCATCCTAATCTGAACCGCCGCCTGCTGAGTACGTTCACCTAAGCCACTCCCGTCCCACGACGCCCGGAGTGCAAAAAACACCCTAAACCCTGAACCCAAAAAACCCTAAACCCCAAACCCGAAACCCTAAACCCCTAACCCTAAACCCGAAACCCTAAACCCTAAACCGAAACCCGAAACCCGAAACCCTAAACGCCCTACACCCTAAACCCTAAACCCGAAACCCTAAACCCTAAACCCGAAACCCTAAACCCTTCGTCCGCAGCCAAAGTGCCTCCTTGTTGTAGGACTGCCGGGCTTGCCTGGGGCAGCACGCAAACAAAGATGTCTTGCACCCCTAACACCGAAACCGAGGAAGCAGCCTAAACTCTAAACCCTAAACCCTAAACCCTAAACCCTAAACCCTAAACCCTAAACCCTAAACCCTAAACCCTAAACCCTAAACCCAATACAGCAACTGCAACTTAGATGAAGCCCCATGCAGAACAAGTCTGCATGTAGCGCAAGGGCTTAACCAAGGCAGGGTTCAGCTTTGGTTAGGGTTTACAGTGTGGGGTTTAGGGTGTGGGGTTTGGGGTTTAGGATTCCAGGGTTTAGGGTTTGCCGTTTATTGTTCGGGGTTTCGGGCTTGGGGTTAGGGTTTAAGGCAATCCAAGATCTTGGGTTCAGAAGTTCCGGAACCAGCCGCCCTTCTTCCACAGCAGACCA